TGTGAAGAAACTTTGTGAACATCCTTCAAATATCCTAAACTAGCCTTTTCATGCCTTTCAAGGCTATTCTAGTACATTTTCCAAGGTTGCTCAATTTTAGGCTTATTTTGTAGTGTCCCCTTGGTCTGGTGGTGCCTTGGGTACCGATAGGACCAGGTTGTTACTGCTCTCTCTTTATTTATAACAAGGATGTAAATACATAAAAAATGACATATAACAACTCAATAGCGAGGTTTCCCCTATGCTCCATATGTTCAACTGATGAGTTAAAAAGACCCATGTCACATCTAACTCAAAACTCCTCCAATATCCAGTGAAGAGGCATCCACGTGCCATGGGAGGATATGTATCCCAAAGTTTCATCTCAAATTGAACTGTTTTTATGATATCTTGTCATAAACTATAAGTTACGATGCACATGTGTAATTAACGATGGATTCACGAAAATATGTATACCAAATCGCATCAGGTCCCTCTACATATCACATGGATAGACATATCGGGTCCTTAGGAGTATATGTATCCTAGAACTTGTCTCACAATGAGATGGCTTTCATATCTTCCATCATCGACCGTAAGTTACATTTGAACATGCTTAACTGACAAGCTATCTTATCTTTGTCGGTCGTACGTCATGACATATAGGGACCGACTAATGGATCAAGGCTCTAAGGGCATATTGGGGCCTTGTATGATTAGTCTTGAGCATATCATGTCTTTTATGAGCAGGTATTATCAAGTACCATGCTCATATTCTATCGACCGTTTCTTAAGACAGTTATTCGACGTGCATTATTGACCTCACTGCATATTTGACATCTTCAAGCGTTCGTTAAAACGCACTTAGTCTTATATGAGGACTAAGAAACATCTGTATCATTCAAAACATATCTTCAAAAGCAGAGCCTGTTCTTTTGTTCATCCAACATCGGTTAAGATGACTCATCCAATGTGCGTTATAGAACTTCCAGTGTTTGTTCAAAATCTCACTCTCGCATCAACGCTTCCATATAATGTCAGTTAAAATACACTTAGCCTCTAATGAGGACTAGGACTGCACTCAACCTATGGCATGTCTCCAAGATTTTAAGCTTATCCAGCGTGCATTAGCACCTCCATCTTATAATCTCTGCAGTACTAAAAGTACACCCAAAAAGGTCACAGTTAAAAGAAGGAAACTTTTTCTTCTAATCTCTCTCCCATTTCTTTAGGGTCAGTTGACTCTAATTTATTAATTGTCAAAGGCTTCTCTTTTGGACAAGGAGACCACCCCTCAAAAAGAAAAGGAAGTTGGAATTTGTAATTTTGGTAAGAATGGTTGTGGCCTTTTGGAACATTTGAAAGGACAGGCTATTGATGATCCCATGGGGAGTAGTGAGGTTGAAGTACACAGATTTTGATTTAGAAAGGCGACTCGCAGAAGACAAGTCTTAAATGATCCAAGAGTTCCACTGGAAGAACAAGGACTCCCTATCATCGTCCTTGACCTTGTGGAGGAGATTATGAGGACAATTATGCGCTTGAGTCTTTAACACTATCTTTTGGAGAATATATGGATGTGTGGTCAGAGGAAGAAGTGGAATTCATTCAATCTTTGAGCTTTATTCCACCTTTGAATGACATAGAAATGGAGAAGGGTACTGATTCCATGGTGACTAAGGAAGTGGAGGATGAAGATCAAGATTTTTGTTGAAATGTTTGGGGTGATGGGGTATCCTTTGATGCTCCTCTACCCGATGTGATGGGAGTGCTTAAGGATTGCATTAAGGCTTCGAAGGATTAGGCAGAAAATGGAGTTAGTTGTTGATGTTGTTGTAGAAAAGAAGAAACCCAAAGAAGAAGATAAATTTATAGTTCAACTGGCTCATTCATCTTCTAGAATTGTTGCCTAAAGGTTGACTGCAGCCGGAGAGGGAATTATAATTTATAGTAAGGAGAGTGGTAAAGAAGTTAAAGACGACGAGAGTTCTGCCTCTACTGGTGAAGGTTTATCGCCACCTAAAGTCAATCTTTGCATGCTCATGAAATTCCTTAGCTAGAGTGTGTGTGACCTTAGGATTGCTTGTAGAAAGAAGGAAATATTACTTTTATTAAGAAACATAGGTTGAATGTTCTATTGTTACATGAAGAAAGCTCCTAAATCCATCTTTAAGGTCTGTCAATGAAATATGGGGTAGGGTCTCTACTAGTTCTTTGGGAATTGATGTAGTTTGGTCTTCTGGGGGGCCATGGCTAGTTTGGGATACTTTTGTTTTTAAATTTATGTTGATGTTATTTTAAAAGTTAAATTATTGATGTTTTTTAGAGAACTTTTTCTCGACTTTCAAATGGGCTCTGCTTAATATTTATGGCAAATGTTTAGGACTAGAATTCAAGTATTGTATACTAGAAAGGTTTGTTTTTGTAGGATATTTTCAATATTTTGGATTTAAATCTTCTTTCGTGTATAGGGGGTGACTTCAACTTCATTAGGTGGCCAAATGAAAAATCTTATCATACTCCTTTGAATGCTTCCATGAGAATGTTTAATGAGTTTATTTTGCATCATGAATTGTTAGATTTGTCGATTAATAGTACAATGATCACTTGGTCTAATAACTGCTTGCAAGATCTAACAATGAGTAAGTTGGACCACTTCTTTATTTCAAGTGAATGGGGAGCCCCAATTCCCCTTGGTGAGAGTGAACTCTTCGACACGTCTATCGTCGAATCATATATGTATTATGTTGCAAACTGACAATGTGAATTCTGCTCTAAAGCCTTCTAGAATGGAGGCTGCCTGACTGGAAAAAAGTGAAGTTAGTTAACTAATTAGGCAAATATAGAATAATACAGTAGGTCATGGCTGGTATGGTTTTAGAGTTTATAAAAAACTATTAAATGTCAAGCATAAACTACTAAATTGGAAGGAGAAGAACTATTACATTAAAAAAGAGAATTGATGATACATTGGTTAGAATTTAGGGCATTGAACATGAGGTGCAATTAAATGGTACTCTAACAGAGGATTTGCTAGGGGAAAGATTGAAGTTGATTAAGGGTCTGTTTGATAATTGGAAGGTAAACGTTCTTTGGAAATTTGAAGTTCTTATTTGCTGGGAAGTAAGAAGATCTCATAAAGAAGTTCTGGTTGACTGTGTTTGATAACCTGCAGGAATGTCAGCGAAGTTCTAGGTGTCTGTGTTTGACAACTTGTTGTAATATATAGTTATATTTATTTAAAATATTAATAAAATATGAAATATTGAATGCATCGAGTTATATTTAATAATATTTATAGAGTATTTAAATAGATATAACTATATATTCCAAAAAATTGTCAAACACAGGCACCTATAACTTCTTTAACCTTCCTGTAGGTGATCAAACACAGACACCTAGAACTTCTTTATGAGATTTTCTTTCTTCCCAGTAAGAAGAACTTTCAATTTTCATAGAACTTTTATCTTTCCAGTTATCAAACACGCCCCTGGCGTTTAAAGCCCTCTACAACTTTTTTTATTTTGGTTTATATTTCTTAATATTTCTCGGATGTCGCTTCTATCAATCTGGACCCCATTGTTGGGCGGACGTATCCAGACTCCCCCATCGAGTTTTCCAATCGCTCCATTGATCCAACCACCAAAACCCTAGATCCAAACAGGCTCCATTGATAATCGATTCGGAACCCGATTAAAAGACTTAATCAAGTTTCAAATTTGGCTACATTCCCCTCCCAAGGACTATCAAGTTAAACTTCCCGAATCTGAAGAAAATCCCAACCGAAGTTCAAATCCGAGCCCTATAAACCACGCGGACCCGCCAAAGGGTCTTCTTCATCTATTATTAAATATATTAATTATTTATAATACTTAATCGCCCCACTTTTAGTTGTTCTTCTCGAAATCTTCCGTAAAAAATCTAGAGATTCGCATTCACTCAAACATTAGCCCGAATGCAACCTCAACCTTATTAGTTATGCTAAAAGATTTCCTACTCCCGTGGTAGTGTACTATCCATCTACTCCATCGGGTAAAACTTATATCTTTTAGATCCTAAATTTTGGGATATGATGTCTAGAATAGAACTCAAAGACTAACCTCAAAGAAAAATAAAAATTAATCTCGATGTAAATGTGCTTAAAGAAACAAGGCATCTCAAGATTGCAAAACCACCTAAATACTGGAGTGAATGATCTAGTTATTCAAGAACTCAAAATTCAAAAAATTTTCTTTAAAAATAATCATCTAATTATAATTAGATTGGTCTAAAAATTTCGAATAAAAATTTCTAGAGAGATTTGTCAAAGAGAACAAATATGTAGTATACTCACGAGGGAGCATATTACACACGCTCTTTACATGCACCGCTGGAGCACGAAAAGCGCCACTTTTTGTTCCCTTCGCACTTTTTTTTTTACGTCCTTTCTACACTCTTCCCCGTATGGAGCCTAGGCTCTAAACATTCAAATTAAAGCTTACCTTCAAATAGCATCCAGATGGTTTTATTATTGAAAATATTTATGATAGCTTTAAAATATATTTTTATTTTTATTAATAAAGTTTAAAGTTTAGAAAATAATACATATCATCTATAAAAACTTGAAAATTAATGGTCCAAAAATACGTTATAAAATATACTATTTTCAATGCTTGAAATCTTTTTCTTTTTCATGTCCATGCATTTGTTGAGATGATCAATTTGAAGATATTTGAATATCAAAACGATCTAGTAAATTTTTTTAGATGGGCACTAATTTGATTGTTTAGAGCGTAGGCTCCATATACTTTTCCCTTTTTTTTTGTTTTCTATTAAATCTCATCTGTCATTTTTATAATATTCCACGTAAACAGGGGAAAAGCGAGATATTTTCTACTCCTCGAAAATATCTGATGTTGGAAAGGGCCAGATATTACCGACACGAGTGACGTGGCGTTCGCTGACTGTGATGACACGTGTAAAGTTCAGCCAAATGGAACGATTTAAGTCCCCTTCATGGGCGCCCATTTTGCTTTGCCCGTCTTTTGTTGCTGTTTCGGTTTTGCAGAGGAGAGAGAGAGAGAGTTCAGGTTCGTTTTTTATATGGGATTCCATGGCTTTGAACCGGTTTGATGGTGGCGATTCCTCCAAATCTGGTGGCTCTGCTAAATCTGGAGGAGATTCCTGTAAGGTCATGGCTACTCGGATCTATGACCCAAATCAGAGGATGGAAGTTTTGGCTTCTGAAATGGGGAACCCTCGCGAGATAAATGTCACACAAGCCAATTCTGGGGATCCATCTAAACCGGTAATTCATCTATTTTTATTTTTTTTGGCTTCGCCTTGCTGTTTTGTGTGTCTGAAATATTTATTATTATTATTTTGGAAGACTTGTTTGTTATGGTTTTTGTTTGAAAAGCTGGTAATTGTTTCAGATATTAGAAAATGTTGTTGTCCATGCCTTGGACATTTGATGCTAATGTTCATTATTGATATCCATTTTTGTTGCAAATTTCATCTCTTTTCTGAGGGGGAAGCTGCATTTTCAAAGAATTTTTGTTTTCCATTCCCTGTGAATATGATTGCTTGTTAACATGATGCTATATAAGCTAATAAGGCTAGAGATTTGGGTTTCTGATTCAGTTTTCTTTCTTACCTGTTTTATTTACATTGGGTATTTGGAAAATGCCTCCAGTTGCAGAGCATGATGGTCAGATTCATTATTTTATGTACGTTGCATTATTCGCTTTGCATTCCTTGCATTCTACAGAATGTTGGTAGCTTGGACAGAGTTGGCTAGATCTTATCTTGATCTAATGCCTTATATTCTCTGTACATTGATGAAGTTCTGAGGTTATCTGGAACTATCTCACCTCTTCTTTAGATGACCAATCTAAGTTATTGCTCCCTCGATTTTGTCTTATCATACTCCGGGGCTCATTTATGCACTTTTTTTTCATGTTATCAGGTGAATCTCCCCATCTCGCTATTTTTTGTTCACCTACAAATGAATTTGGTCATTTTGTTCAGATGTAGTTCACTCTGTTAGCTCTAGTTCTGGCCTATGCTTCTTTCTGGCCCAATTGTCAGCAATTCTCATGGTTTTCTTGCATTGTTGCTTCTTTAGGTTGTACATCTTTCGTTGACATAGACCTTCTTTGGCATCAAATTTTCCCAACTCCTGCTAAAAACCTCTCTTCTTGTAAATGCTATAAGCACACCCTATTAGTGTCTGCCTGTTGCTCTCTTTGAGAGGGCAGAGTTTAGAATTTAGCATGAGGCGATATATATTCTGTGGGCACCAAGAAGTAGGTTTTTGTTAGTTTTCTAGAAGTAGTTTTTTGTTATTTTTCTACGTGCCCTCACGAGGGGAGACATTCACATGAATGAATGATCCTGGCATTGTGTATGTGTTATTTTAGGAAATTGTGTCCATCATTGTTTTCTAATCCCTGCAAACTATACTGGATGTTGGTTGGTATTACAAGGTTTCTTGTGAAATTGGGCATTGGAAGTCAATGTGTTCTATCGTCTCACGAAATGGCTAGGTGAGAATAAGAGTTAAACAAGAAACTTGGAATTTGGTATAAGAGCTTCATAGCCCTAGGCGATAGTTATAGAGTGGGCCCAGTTCAAGCCTGCATGGCTCAACAAGGCTAGCTGACCCAACCCTATCAGGCTCAGATTTGGGTCCGATACCATTGTGGAGCAGGTGAGGCCCAGCCTAGACACCCTGGTCCACTTCATAGTTGGCCATGCTTCAACTCAGTGGGCTTTGTCTATTGGTCTTTAGTTGGATCGGTCCAGGCCTTGCCCATATACCAATGAAGACCAAAATGTTCTTCTATATTTTAATTTAAATAGAAAGATTAAGGATGGGGGAAGGTAGACTTATGTATGCTGGCCATGTGCAACATTGGCCCAATACAACACCATTTAGGAGGAGCGATTTGGTTCAAGTCGACGATTCTAAAACGGAAAGGGGAAGGTCCAAAAGGATATGGATGGAAGTAGTGAGAAGAGATAGTAAATTATGGTCTGACTGAGGGTATGACCCTTGATAGAGCAGAATGGGGGAATAGGATTTGTGTAGCCGACCCCAAGTAGTTGGGATAAGGCTTGGATGATGATGGTAATGATGATGAAATAGAAAGATTAAGGATATTTTCATTTTCCATTAGAAGTTTTTTGGAATTCAAACTTTGATATGAGCAATCTATGGTCAATGTCATTGGATGGTGTTATATAGTGTTATTAGAAGCGGACTGGTCATCAACAAGTAAGGGGTTTGTTCTAGTCAAAATTGGTATAACCGCCAAACATACTAAATCGTTTTTAAAAGGACATAGTTACATTGCCAAAAAGTTATGAAATATATTATATAAAAGATTTAAAATATGGATTTTGTTGGTTTGACCAACCAAAATTGGTCAAACATTCGTTCTGCTCAGATTTCAATGAAATCGTGTTTTTGCATTGGAGCAAACTGGCTAAAGCAAGCCTGGTTACCCACTGGGCAAGCCCAGTTTGGTTTTGACCTAACTTGAACCCTTCCTTACGGCCTAGATAAGAGTCTAAAGTTTCAAAGAAATATGAACTGGTTGTGATTAGGGTAGTAGGAGCTTTGGCTGGGCCGAGGTAGATTAGTGCCCAGCCTATGACAAAAGGGCCTTGACCCTAGCTTGGCCCAACCCAGGTCAAGCCTGAACCAAGGTAGCCTTGGTCCAGCCCATTTTGGAAAGCTTTGGAAACCTTGAAACTTGAGCCCACCCTGCTCAGCTGGATTTTCTTTTGCCACCCAAACAAGCAGTACAAAATTAATCGATTATACAATACTTGTAGTTTTTTTTCTAATGCCATAATTTTAGGAACTAGATTGAAAGGGTCTTAAATAGAAAGAGAAATAAAAATTTAATAAATTCGAATTGCATTCAGTGCAAGAAAAGAAAGAGATAAATAATTGAAAGATGGATTTTGTGTTATATAGAAATAAATAAAGAGGAGATTAAGAAAAAGGTCTTACCAATTCAAAATTGAATTGATATCAAAATAGAAAGATTAGAAGAGGGGATAAAATTGATCTTGGGAAGTCTAAATAAATTGATACTAGAATGAAAAGATATAAGGAGATAAAGAGAATTAGAAGGTGAGAGGGAGAAAAGAGAAAGGAAGTTACTAAAGAAAGAGACTTGCCATGAACAAAAGAGGGAATTAACTTTTTAAGAGAGAGAGAGAGAGAGAGAGAGAGAGAGAGAGAGAGAGAGAGGAGACGACACACATAGTGGTCGACGGCGTCGTCGCGCTCTGTCGTCGTCCGTACGACGACGACACGACGTCGTCGTACGTTAAGTTAAGTTAAGGTAACGGTACTTA